AGCCTGGTCTACAAGAGCTAGTTCCAGGACAGGCTCCAAAGCTACAGAGAAACCCTGTCTCGAAAATCCAAAAGAGGGAGAGGGAGAGAGAGAGAGAGAGAGAGAGAGAGAGAGAGAGAGAGAGAGAGAGAGAGAGAGAGAGAGACTGAATTCTTATTCTATTTGTTTCAGATTCAACAGTAGTGAATAAAGTTGTGTTTTTTAGTTATTTTCACTTATAAGAGTTTCAAGCTCCCAAATTTTGCCCGGCGATCTTGTCTGCTTCCAATTTCCAGGAGGATCTATATATGTTTCTCTTTGGGTTCACCTTAAGTTGAAAGCATGGGCGAGGGCGTGGGGTGAAGGAAAGGGGAGAGGGGGAGAGAGAAGGGGGATTGGGGAGCGCTTGGGGGAGTGGGATGGTTGAGATGGAGGAAGGGCAGATATAGGAGCAGGGAAGAAGATATCTTAATTAAGGGAGCCATTTTAGGGTTGGCAAGAGACTTGGCTCTAGAGTGGTATCCCAGGTGTCCAAGGGATAGTCCCTAGCTAGGTCCTTGGGCGGAGAGGAGAGGGTGCCTGAACTGGCCTTGTCCCATAGCCACACTGATGGATATCTTGTATATCACCATAGAACCTTCATCCGGCAACAGATGGAAATAGAGACAGAGACCCACATCAGAGCTCTGGACTGAGCTCCCAAGGTCCAGTTGAAGAGCAGAAAAAGGGAAAAGATGAGCAAGGAAGTCAGGACCCTGAGGGGTTCGTCTACCCATGGAGACGGTGGGACTGATTTAATGGAAGCTCACGAAGGCCAGCTGGACTGGGACTGAATGAGCATGTGATCAAACTGGATTCTCTGAATGTGGCTGACAATGGGGGCTGTCTGAGAAGCCAATGATCCTACTGCATGTACTGGCTTTTTGGGATCCTAGGATCCTAGTCTGTTTGGATGCTCACCTTTCTAGACCTGGATGGGGGGGGGGGATCTTGGACTTCCCACAGGCCAGCGAACCCTAACTGCTCTTAGGTCTGGAGAGGGAGAAGGGAGTGGGAGGGAAATGGGAGAAAGGGGGGAGGTGGAAATTTTGAATGGTATTATTTATAAAGCAAAAAAATAATAAAAAATGAAAAAAAGATTTTCAAGCTCATTGGTATAAAATATTTTATCAATTTTTCTGTCTCTCTATGTGTCCATGTCATCTGCACAATTTATTTTTCAGTTTTGAAGTTACACATTTGAGAATTTTTTTCTTGTTTATCTCATCAAGTGTGTATTATCTTTTGTTTTAGATATTTTCTTTCTTCTTAAGGAACAAACATATAGCTACTGTTGAATTTTTCTATAGCTGCCTTTACATTTTTTCATTATATGTTGATTTTCTGCCTCTCTAGTTGTACAAGCTATCGTTAACAATTTAATCTAGAACACAGCTTCAAATTTTGGGGATGTGTAGTTCTCATAAGCAAGCAAGAATGGCCAAGGTTTTCTGTGATGTATTCTGCAGTCTCTGTACAGCATTTCTGGAACATTCTATTAGTTACATAGGTCACCCATCTTTGGTGGGGCAGGGGACTAAGCCCGGATATGCACACGGGAAGTTGGGACTGATGGGGCCTCCATGAAAGGATGGCAGGCATATGCCAGCAGGCCCAGCTCAAATCACATTTTCCAATAATTTACATTCATTTTCTTTTCTAAAACTTCTTTGGCTCATGTGTTATTTGCAAATGTTACTTAATTTCCAAATAAGGAAATTTTGTATGATTTTTAGAAAATTGAACCAAACTGTTGATTTGTCATCAATCAGCAGACATTGTTGTCTTTATTGCCTGCCCAGGGTAGAATCAATATTTATATATGTTCTTTGTGAGTGAGGAAAAAGTATGTGCCCTCAATTGTTTGGCACAAGTTTGTATTATATTAATTTTACTGGATAAGGCTTACTTATATTTTATTCCACTTACATATTTGAAAATTTTTTGAACTGATACCTAGTAAATACAATTAAAATTAGTGCTCTATTATTAGAGTTTATATATTTTCATTCTTGTAGTTCTGTGAGTCTCCCTTTATTTCAAGATTTTATTACAAACACGGTGACCATTTACTTTTTTTTTAGCTTTTTAAAACTTTTTTAATGATTTAGTTATTTTATTTTATATGCAATGATGTTTTGCCTGCCCACATGTCTGTGCAAGAGTGTTGGATCCCCTGGAACTACAGACAGTTGTGAGCTGCCATGTGGGTGCTGGGATTGGAATCCGTGTCCTCAGCCAGTGCTCTTCACCACTGAGCAGGGTGACCATCCCGAGTTTCTGTCAGAGCTGGAGAAAGGGCTCAGTGGTTAAGCATGTAACCAAGTTCTGTTCTCAGCACTCACACTGGTCTGCCCACAGTTACGTGTAACTCCATCTCCAAGGGATTTGCTACCTGGACTCTGAAACCTCCACACATACTTGGCATCCATAGACACAGAAATAAAACTAAAAGGTGAATCTCTTCAAAAACAAAACAAAAAGCTATAAAGTCATTGTATCTTCTGGGATTCCTTTTAGTCCATGGCAATATTTCCCCTTTTAAGTTTATTTTGATTAACGACAATCAGCTTTTTTCACTACTGAGTCTCTTTAAGTCTTTGGATTTGATATTCTGCAGTTTTATCAAGATATGGTGTGTATTTCTAATTTGTAATATTATTACTTTAAGTATTTTTTTCAAATTTATTTTTCATCCTTTTCTTCTGATTCCAATTTGTCACAAGTGTTCTCAGCTTACTTTAGCTACCCTATCTCTTTAGCTGTCTCTCTCTGCATTTCGCTGTGAAGCTTATCACTAATGTTGCATTTCACCGTCCAACTCTGGATCATCCATCTCTAGTTAAATTCATCCATTAGCCCCCCCCTTTTCCTCACCCACTTCCTTTCCCATTTGGCCTTTTGCTCTAAATACCTGATACAACCAGATATTTCCTAAAAATACAATCTGGAAAACTAGAAAGCTAGTCTAGATTATTCTCCAGAAACTAAACACACAATTCATTCAATCATCCATTCTGTTATCTGAACATCTTTTGACCTTGTATTTTCTTGTAGCCTGCATAACCTCAGCAGGTAACAAATTATTTGCCTTTAGGGGGGTTCACTGATGGACAAGTATGACATACTGGCCTGGAGTCATCAATATCTTAGAAGTCATTCTTACCAGACTATCCAGTAAAGAAAGACCTTTCAGATGCTTCCAAAGCAGATAGTGAAAAATGTATGCTTCATTACTGCAAGAGTCTTTGTGAACGCATAGTTGAACAATTTTCAAACTGTTACGCTCTTAGATTTTGCTGTTCATTATCGTTAAGAGTTAAATATTTTCAGTTTTATTTTATCTAGTCCAAGTGTGTATTCGGTCCATTAGGTCAGTTCTCTTACTGTACTTTGAGTTTAAGAGTGTCTTTTATTTCTATTACATTTTAAGTACAGTTGTCAATTCTGTATGTCATCATTCTAGTAAATACAAGGTCTTTGTGGGCCTATTTATGCTGAATTTGTTTCCACTGTTCTGTTCTTATTTATGTGTCTCCCTTCTCTTCAGTTTTCATGAATGCCTATTGCTTTTCCTTGGGAAAATATTTGTAGGATTTTCTTAACACATAGTATAAAGTCACAAGAGGACCTGTATTTGTTTCTGCAGGTGAGTAATAGTTCACTAACACGGCATAAGTGAGCACATGACTTGATACATGTATTGCTATATAAAAATTTAGAATGTACATATATATGATTTACTGGGTGTCATTTTGAAGCATTATACTTTGTATAATATTTAAGTCAATGTAAGTAGATCTGTCTCCTTAAACATTTGCCATTCTACTAGGTTGTGAAAACATTCGATATCCTTTCTCCTAGATTTTTGAAATATTGAGGACATTTTTGTTATTTTAGTATCCCTTTGGGTAATAGAACCCTTAAATTCTTTCACTCTAATTATAACTTTGTACCCAATGATTAGCATCCGTCTCCATCACCAGAAACCCCCTACTCTCTTGGTGTTTGGTAACTATCATTCTATGCTCAACTTCTCAGGACTTGAGATCTGTTCTGACCACTCAGTTAGAATTTAAGCTTCAACTTGAATGGTAGAGGCATGTGATCCTCATTTCTCACCCTATCTGATCTCTTCCTTCTCTTTTTCTCAGTGCCAAGCCAACTTTGCCTTTGGGCTTCTCAGAGTCAATGTGGGGCTAGTTTACATTTACTCTGACCTTGTCTGGATGTTCACCTTTTTGTAGTCTTTTTTTTTAACCAAGAAAGTAATGTCTGTATTTATTCCCATCAAATTAAGTTTAGATTTGTCCTTACAACATGCCCTTTAGCCATAATAATTTTATTCATTTTAGACTTACTGGTGCCAGTCAGCTGGCATGCTTATTAGATGTTTATTGAGTTTACTAGTAGAGAAAGCTGAAGATGGCTGTCTCAAGGCCCTTCTTATATTCAGAGTCAAGAATATTAGTTACACTCACAATAGAAGTATCAGTATAAATAAAGTCTTACTCAAACACATCAGCACAGCTTGCACTAAGCTAGCTGATGAGGCTCGTCTATATCAACACTATGAGGCTTGCTTTTTCTTGTCTATTTCAAAATAGACTTCCCTGTATGGTGATATTTTGGGGCAAAACCAAGTCCAAGGCAGGCTTTTGGGGTCTCAAGATGAGAATATAGGTAAAGATACTTGATTGGAAGATAGTGTCCCACACAAGAGAGCAATGAGAATAAGAATGGTAAATAGTTAAACATTAGCTCTTTTCACTAGTCTGGACTGCAGTGACTCAGAATATCACAGTTGTGGGAGAAAATTTTGCGAAACAGTCACCAAGCAATACAAGCCTAAGTGAATAGGAGACTTTAGTGGTCACAGCCTGTAAATCCACCGTAAATAGATCATTGGGGAAATTCATCAAAGTAGAGTATATGGATTTCTGGTTTGCTCAACATTAACTTGACTCTTGATTTCGCAGGTGTAAGTTTCTGTACTCCTTTTATTTTCTCCATAAGAAAAGCCATACACATTTTTCTGGTAATTGCAAATAATTTAGCATACACCTGTAATTTTACTTTGGCTAAATATGAAAAGTATGAAGACTTTTGAAGAGGATCTAGAGTTCACAGTACAGAGCTTTGTGAAACACAGTGCCTATGAGCATTCTCCCATGGTACACAGACGCCACAGAGCTCCCCTGAAGCACAGAGCCATTGTTGGCATAGAGTGTGCTCACCCTGGGCTTGTCTGACAAAGCATCCTGGATGCGTAGTACCTGTCAAGAGAAGGTCACTCGTTAGTATCCAAGAAAAGCCATCTAGAGAGATTTCCCTTCCTGAGAATTCTGGGACAAATGAATACTTTCAGAAACCAGTAAGGTAAAACTTGGAAGTATATGTGAATTAAGTTTTCTTCTACAAAGGTACTAATGTCCTAACAACATCTGCAAGATGATGGACTAGCTGTCAACATTAGTCAAATTCCTATAGAGACCTTCAGCAGCTTGATAATTTGGCATCTCTGAAGAAGAAACTTGGGTCCCATAAACACTTGTCTAACTCCTGAGTTGGCAGTAATTCTCTGCCTGCGAATGTGCCTTTGACTGAGCCTATAGTATGAGGACAGAATCCCGGGAGAAGATGACTAAGATGCACCCATCGGCTAGCAAACCTGCTAGTCAAAATGGTGGCAGTCTTCACTGAAGAAGGACCCCATATCTGTGAAGCAGCTGCAGGAGTTTGGAGCTGACGCTGCCTAGGGCTGTTATTGGTCCCCAGGCTTAGCACATCCAGCTTTGCTAATCAGCAAACATAAGCTCTCAGGTTTCCAATAAGCCTGGCTGAAGTTCACTGGACAGGGTGGGGGTGGCGGATGGCAAAGACAGGAATCAAAGGAAAACAACTAGCCATGGAGCAAAGGTTCCCCTTATTGATCTCTTGCAATAGAATGAAGCTTCAGGTTGTTTTCATTGTTTCCTTTCATTTTTACTTTCATTCCAAGCTCTAACAACTTGGTTTCGAGTTTGCTACATGAAAATAATGGAGCTTGGATCTCATACAGAAAGCACAAGGCAACTAAGTGTAAGGGTCAGCAACTGTGGAGAGGTAAGGCTGATTTAGCATGAACAGGTGTTCAAACTTGAAAATGGGGACCTGAGAAACAGATCTTTAACAAGTTTTCGATTATCTCACAGTAATGTTTGCCTTCCCTTTGGGCTGGCTAGTTTTATGTCAACTTGATGCAAGCTAGAATTATCTGAAAGGAGGGAACCTCCACTGAGACAAGGCCTTCATAATATCATACTATAGGGCATTGCCTTAATTACTGACTGGTGGGGAGGTCCCAGTCCATTGTGAGTGGTGCCATCCCCAGGCAAGAGGTCTTGGGATCGATAAGAAAACAGGCTGAGCAGGCATGTTGAGCAAGCACCCTCTCCCCATGGCCTCAACATCAGCTTCTGCCTTCAGGATCCTGCCCTGTTGGAGTTCCTATCCTGACTTCCTTCAATGATGAACAGTGATGTGGAAATGCAAGTCAAAAACCCCTTTCCTCCCCAAGTTGCTTTGGTTGTGGTGTTTCATCACAGCGGTAGTGACCCTAACTAGGACACACTTAGAGCAGAGGCTTGGGCCAGGTACATGTAGGGAAGCTCTGTCTGTATCAAGGAAGGCAGCAGGGTGTATATCTGAAAAAGGGTAGCTGACTTCCAAGCTGGGATAACAATTCTTCTTCTTTTAGGCTAGTTTGTACTTCTGAGATTAAATGTATGTATATATACGTAAAATAATTAAATGCATATATATGTGTATATATATTAATTATAGTTTATTATAAAAGAACCTAGGATTAAGTCAGAATATGCTGACTAACTAAATCTCAAAGTCCAAGGAATAAATAGTTCTGTCCATTGAGAGCTTCCATGTCATGGGAAGGCAGGAGTCAACTGCATGACTTTTATGCTCTCGATGAACATTGTATCTCTTATTTCAATCACTGCAAGATAGAACCTACAATTTCTTCAGGCATGTAATTGGGTTGTTTTAAATCTTATAAAAACAAAAGGTGTAAAGGGAAAAGCTATCGCTTTCGAAGTTGGTGTGTTTTATTTTATATACGTGTAGATGTGAAAAAATTAATAATGAAACTACATAAACATATGCCATGATTTAGATCTCTCCATATAATAGGCATCCGTGATATAAAAAGGCTGCTGGGTAGATAGCAAGTGAGTGATTGGAAGCTTGTATTCACACCTATTTTCACTTTGTAATCACAGAGCAAAAGTTGGTCTACTTTGTTGAAACTTCTTAGTGAATTTTCTGAGAATTTCCTCCACGAATACTGTATTTACTTCATTTCTGCTCCCACTCTTCCCAGCCCAACTCCTCTCACATCCCTCTGATATCCATGACCTCTTCTTCAGTTGTTACTGTTAAAGGCACACGCACTCTGCTGAGCCTTTGTACTGTGGATGTACATGTGTTTAGTGCTGACCACTTGGGACTGGATAACCTATCAGAAGGTTCACACCTGGAAAAACCTGATTCTCCTTCTCTCAGCAGCCACTGATTGGCTGCAGCTCTTCATTCAGAGGTAGAACTCTGTGCCCTTTTCCCCATCCGCACTGACATGCCAATGGCTGTTGTCATCACATGGCTCTTATTTGTAAGGTCTTCTGGACATGGCTGGGAAACTACACCCATAGGATCTCAATAACATGATTGCTTTAAAATATTTCGTGATGCTCTCTTAAAGATTTCACGACTGATGTGTTAATTTCCAATAAAAATAATTTAAAAGGAATCATATTCTTTGATAGAAATAACCCCTCCTGTGTCAATGAAGAAGCTAAGAAAATTTGAATTTCAGTTTTGCAACTTCACAAACCAGTCACACCTTTCTTCAGGCCACAGCTTCGAGTCTCTTTCTGTCTTCAAGCCAAGACATGCCCATGCCTTTTAGCAATCTTCATCCTCTTTCTAACTGTGTTGTTTCTTCCTGCACAACTTACCATCTATGCAACTTATATGTTCCTTTTATAAATGAACTTATATGTTCATGAACTTACACGTTCACTTAGTATTATTTGTCCTTCTCTGCTCTAAGATTGGGGTCTTGGTATGGATTTTTTATGATTGTTTAAGTTTTATTTTATTGTTTTTGTTAGTTTTTTGTAAGCATGTATGTTGAGCAGATGGACATATAAGTACAGGCATACATGCCACAACACTTGTAGAGGTCAAAAGATATCTTTTATGATTTGGTTCTCTCCTCTCATGGTAGAACCAAGGATTGAATTTAGGTCATTGGTCTTCCATGGCAAGGGCTTTATACCATCTTACCAGCCTTATATATTTTAATTTCTGAGATAGCCCAAACATTAGAACAATATCTGGCAAAATGTAAGTGTCAAAAATAAGTTCTTTCAAGAATGTGTGAAAGAATTTGTAGTGGTTAAATTCAACAAAGTTTTAAAATTTATTATTATTCTTCAACTCATTGTCATAGAAAATGCAGAGTTATGCAATTGGTTTAAATGCTGTAGATAATTCATTGTTTTTACTTTAGAAGATATATTTTTAAAATTAAAAAAAATCTTTTAAAAGGAAACACTTTTGAACACTGTCATATCTATTAGAACTTGAGAACAAAAGTTTATCTACTTCAGAGACTCAAGTCATTTGAAGCCTTGGTGCAGGCTGTGTGCTCAGGGGTATGAACAGAGATGGTTCCAGGCATGTCTAGGTGCAGGCTGTGTGCTCAGTGGTATGAACAGAGATAGTTCTAGGCATGTCTTGGTGCAGGCTGCATGCTCAAGGGTATGAACAGAGATGGTTCTAGGCATGCCTCTTTCTCTGCCCCTCTATAGCAGCTTCTCAGAGCTTGCCTTCTATGGGAAACACAGTAGGGCCATCTATGTCAATATAGCCTATCAAGTTCATCTTTCCTTGTTACTCTCAATAGCAAAGCACTTGCCAAGTTAGGACCTGATGTGGGATTCCCCTCTGTATACCATTAGTTAATAAAGAAGCTTCTTTGAGCCTATGGTGGGGCAGAACAGAGCTAGGCAGAAGGGGTGGGGTGGGGTTAGAGGTGGGGTAAGGGGTGGGGGGGGGACTAAACTGAATTCTGGGAGAAAGACATCAAAGGCAGTGAGAAACCATGTAGCCACCGGCAGAAGACAAACGCACCAAAACCTTGCCCATAAGCCACAGCCACATGCAATACACAAATTAATAGAAATGGATTAATTTAAGGTATAAGAGTTAGTCAGAAATATAGCTAATAAGCCAAACAATATTGCAATTAATACAGATTTCTTTGTGATTATTTCGGGAGTCTGGGTGGCTGGAACGAACAAGTGGCCTCCAGCAACAAGGGCCTGCTGTCTGGCAAAGATACTACATCAGTCCCTTGTGGTTTAAAAAAATTTAGGGACTCCATCTCTTTAAACTTCCAGTATCTCTAATATATATATACATACATATATATGTATATATATTATATAATGTTTGTTCAGTTTTAGAATGTAAATGTGACCCACATAAATGCCCTCAACATCACCTCAGCAAATTTTCACTCTTGCAGAGATGCCTATGAGTTCCAGAATCAGTACTTACTTCTGACCCTGGAGGATCCTCAGGGTTGTAAACCAATATCTTTGAGGGGTTAGGATGGCATCCTGCCAAAATGTCTCCTGTGGCAGGGTCAACAGTTAAGTTATCCACCAATGTTCCCAATTGAATTACCTTCAACAAAGAGAAAGCAGTAAGGACATTGTCTCAATGTTCTCTGCCATCCCCTTCCCTCCCTCCTACCAGTTCTTCCTGGTACTGGACACTGGTATTTTTAGGGGGCGTTGTGATTGCACTCTAAAAGTATAAATGGTCATGGGTCCTTAAAAACATCCCTGGATCAAGTACGAGACTTATATGTGGGGCCTTGCTGTATGGGTTAGCTGGGGAACTCTTACCTTCTCTTGAGTTAAATTCCAATTATCATGTTTTTTCAATACATGAATATTCTTAGCCATTACATCAGCTACATAGACATACCTGTAAAGCACGTAACACTTAATGTTTAAGCAAGTAGTAACAAAATATGACATTGTCTCCTTTTTGGAGAACAAATATACAAATTCACATTGGTTTGAGGTACTACAGTGATGTTTTTCTACAGTGCTATAAAAGTAGATAACAGAGTGGTACTTTCAATGTTATTAAAATGTTCTATAGGCTTTTAGTGTGAAATGTAACCATGAAGTAAAAAGTAATATTGTAGATAACATATAGGGTCAATCTCTATTTTTTTTTTCAATTGAATGAGGTAGGAACATCTTTCCAAGGCTAAAGAGCCTATACTTGCACACTTAGAGCTCGAAAGAACAATGGTGTGGCCCTGGAGCTCAAGTGGACTGTGTTTTCCAAACAGGGAAAATGTACAGAGGCATTTTCTTTTGTTGTTGCTGTTGGTTTGTTTTTGTTTTATTATTTATTTATTTTTGCTTTTTGAGAAAGGTTTCTACTATGTAGCTTTGGGTGTCCTGGAACTCACTATGTAGACCAGGCTGACCTCAAAATCACAGATTTTTTTCCTGCTTCTGCCTCCCAAGGTCTGACATTAAAGACATGCACCACTACATCCAGTCCAAAGGCATTTTATACAAAGATCATCCCCACTTATGATCTCAAATCTAAATTTTGTTATCCATAGTATATCTGTGGTTTTAAAGACTTTTAAGTCTTAATTCTTTGCCTGGAATGTTCTCATCTCAAATTTCATATAGCAAGCATTCTTGTCAGACTGTCTTTGATTCACTAGTTTCCAAATAACTCCATGGGGACTTATTATTAATTATGGCAGCTTGGCCTTCAGCTTAGGGTAGTTTCTAACTAGCTCTTATAACTTATATGAACCCACATTTTTTAACCTACATTCTGCCACATGACTCCACTGCCGCTCTTCAGTGTGGTACTAGTTCATTAGTGGGCTGGTGAAATCCAGGGCTAGATTCCTCCTCCTTCCTCTTCCTCTCTTGCCCAGGAAATCCCACCTATCTTCTTCTGTGAGCTATTGGCCATTCAGCTCTCTAGTAAACCAATCAGAAGGTGCCTTGGCAAATACATATCCTCATAGTGTACAAAGAAAATTATCCCACAACATTTTCATGTTTCTTAGAAGCAGTCATGGGATTATCATAAGCCTGCCAACTGCACCATCACATGTTTAAGGCAGGTTTCTCTCTGTAATATAGCTTTTTAGTTAATATGGTCTTATAGATGTGGTTAAATGCCTTCTTTCTGCACTTATAAGGGGCAAAGATATTGCATATTCATCCTGTTTTTGGAAAAAATTGGAAAAAGTGCATTTAATTGTGCAAGAATTTTGAACAAAAGTTTCTTTTTTTTCCTGGAGGGGACTTGAAATTGAAGAAAACAAATGGTTTTTAGGGTCACATATTTCCTGTGAACTCTGAGCACACCTGAACCCTCCACTCACACACCGACTGCTTGAACTTAAGGGAGCTCTTGAGGCAAGGAGCTCTTCAAAGTGACCAGGACAAAGGGCAGACCTATTCTGAAAGCACATACTTTTGATCTAGTGAGATTGTGATTCCATTGGCAGAACTGAATCCTTGGGCCACTACTTTGACCTCTTGTGGGCTGTAGAAAAGAATGTAAGTCCACTGAAAGTCCATGAACATCTCCAGAAGTATCAAGAAGTAGCTGGTAAAGTAGTGGTCTCTTGTAGCATAAAACTGCTCTGGCCCAACCACCACAATGTCATTCACACTGCAAAGAAAAACAGAGAGAAACTCATAAGATACTTGAATATCTTGATTATTGACAAAGACACTAACATATACCTAGATTACCATGTTTACCAGTTTTAAATGACAGACTTGAATTAAGATGACTTAACTAATCCCATCAAACATTCTGACTTTACTTCAACATGTTTTACTTTGGATATTTATGATTTTAAGTAAAAAATGAATATGAATACTAACAAACTCTAGACTTGTAGATGTTAATGATGATTTTCTGTGACAGATATAATATCTTTGTTTTCCTTTAGAATGAGGTTTGATTATTAAAGTTAAGCACTGTCATATGACTTTTTGATATATATATATATATATATACATATATATATATATATATGTTTGTTGATTATTGAAGTTTCTTGTTGCCCTGGAACTCCCCCAAATAGACTGGGCTGGTAGACCAGTAAGCCCTAGGCATCTACCTATCTCTGCTTCTGTAACACCAGGATTATAAGCACATGTTACCATGTGTAGCCATTTTTTACATGAGTTTTGAGAATCAAATTCCAGTCCTCATGCTTCTAAGATAAGCTTTTTAACTGCCTGAGCCATCTCCCCAGGCTTCTTAATGAAAGACTTGGGGAACCATAAGATATCATTTTAATAGAAACAAGCAATCTTTCTGAGGGCATACTATTGTGGTTCTCCTAGGACCCAAGTTGCTGTGGGAAGACCTGTTTTCTGACTTTTCCAGACTGAGGCAGCATTCACTGAGTTGGAGATCTCTCACTCCAGTGTCAGTATGGTATCTATCATTGTACGCCAGTCTTCTGTATCCATCTGCCTTCTAACTGACTAACAATATATCATATGTACTATAGTAAGACTTTGTTTGTAATTACCTCTGCAGATATTTTTTTTAAGTAAGGTCACATTCTGAGGTATATGTGGTAGGAATTTAAACACATATTTTTATGTAAAATTTTAGACATATGAAATTTGGATGACGGGAAATATTTTATAGTTTTTCAGGACATAATTCAACTAATAACATTTTCCATTCTTTACTTCAGACTGATCTCTGACTTAAGTGTTCTAGGACTGAAACCCTCAGAACGTCTTTCTACAGGGGCGTTTCCTAGTACTCCTCCTGTGAGGTCATATGCTCCTCATAACCCACCAATAAGGTAAACCTGCTCAACGAGAAAAGCTCACTTTACTGTGAGACTGGAGCACAACGTAAGTAATGTTTTCTTCCCCAGAAATCCTGTGAGGTCATTGGTCAAATAAAGAAACTGCCTTAGCCCTGATTGGTTAGAAAATAGGTGGGTGGAGTAAACAGAACAGAATGCTGGGAGGAAGAGGAAGTGAGCTAAGAGGCCATGCTCCCCTCTCCCGGGCAGATGCACGTGATGAAGCAAGCTGCCAGGTCAGACATGCTGAATCTTTCCCAGTAAGACTGATGCTACACAGATTATTAGAGATGGGTTGATCGGGATATCAGAATTAGCCAGTAAGAGCTAGAGTTAATGGGCCAAGCAGTGATTAAAAGAATACAGTGTCTGTGTAATTATTTCGGGGCATAAGCTAGCAGGCGGCCGGGGTGCTGGGGACGCAGCCCTGCTGCTCCTATTACAACAGAATTTTCTAAATTCAGTAAGAATGTTGATCATTGCAAATTGAAAATCCAGCATGGAGCCCTGAGGGACCCAGGCTGACATGATGATTATGCCAGGCACAAACAGACTTAGAGACCCCACCTGGCCCACCGCTTCCACAAGACTCATCTTACTCTTGTTTGTTACTAAATGCTATGTGAAAATTCAGTTTAAGTATTTTGACATAACACTTGGTATACAATCAACATTTAATAAAGGTTATTTTTATTAGTGCCCACAGGTTGGTTTGTTTGATTTTTTTTTTATCAAATTTTTCTTTTAAAACTGGCTACAAAGAACTAAGCCGTGTGGAGGTTGTTTCTAACACCTTGTGGGTAAGGCTCTGAGAATGCCACCTACACAGAAAACTGAGAGAGGTAGTAGGTGTTTAGGGAGAACATAGTATTGAGTTGCTGTGGCAAAGACGTTGAAATTAGAGCTGGGAATCTAATCGAGCATCTTTATAGGATTAAAAAGCTTTCAAAAAGTTGGAAAATAGAGAGGCATTCAATAGTGAACACAGCAATTTCTAGTGAACTCTCACCATGGGAAGCTCTAGAAAACTCTGGAGGAAAAACTACTGCAAGATAAAAGTTAATGAATGCCCACTGAGCCAAAAAACAAACAATGCCCCCAGTCAGTGGAAAGTAAATAGAAATACAGCACGCAAGGCTTTAATGCCTTACCTCTTGAGAAGTTCGTGTGTTATAGTCTTCAGGTGGATGAGAGAACGCTGTTGTTCTTCGAATTTAAATATTTCCACAGTAGAATCCATGTGAGGATGGTTCACAACATAAAGATACACAGTGTTGTCTAAAGGGGTGGGTGGGTATAATTTCAAAGGAAGATGGAATTTCCAAGTTTACTTTTCTTGCAACCATTAATAGACTTCTTTAAAAACCTGATCATCTCCCAAGCCTTTGGTTTTGTCTTGAGATGGGGTCTTGTTGTGTTACACAGACTTACTTTTAAGTTTTAGGCTCCAGTCCAGAGTGGCTGGGACTATATAGACCTGCACTACCTTTAGGTATCTTGCCTGTCCATTAGATGGATCAATAACACCAATGCTAGATCCTTCTGTTTTTGAAGAAACTGAAACTCAAACTGGGGGAGGGGTAACCCACTGATTTTTACCAACACCAAGGAACAGAGCAGACACGAGTGTCCGTGCAATGGTCTCCGGCCTCACCAGTAGAGCCTCTCTAAGGAGAGGCTACAGCATTACAATGGGAGGTGAACACCTATAATTTCCCTGGATGGCCTTCCAATACATGACTGAAAGCAAGCTAATCTCTACTGAGAATGTTTAGGACAGGTCACAAATATTGACATCTCAACAGAAGTTCAGGAAACCACAGGGCACATGATTGCGTTAAAGCAAACATAATTGTTCTCCAGTTACACAATGAACTTCTAGCACTAGTCAAATGCCTGAGGTTCAGCAGCAACTTAGTGGACATGAAAAGTCAGTATGCCAAAGGAAACAAACCAGTTAATTCTGCATATCACCGGCCTCAAAAATGTCCCTGCCTTGCTGATTTCACTCTGGGATGTCAACTGCTGTGAGACTTAGAATAGTGGCCTTTACTGACTTATCACAAGGCATGGGTCTGAGTTTTTCAGGGACTGGCCCCATCCTCTAGCTGTGAAACTTGTTCTATGTGTGTCCCTTTTCCTTTCCTTCCTGTAGACACCAAACATGTAATGGGGCAAGTCTGAGTCCTCCCATGCAAACTTTACACTCAGAACCCCTGAGCACACAGGTCTGTTCTGTGCAAAATATGGAGAGCTGCTTCCCCACAGGGAAATCTCTCCTTTGTTCTGATTTTACTGTGTTATAGGATCCAGCCATTGGTGACAGAACATGGGTTGCGTTTCAGGTCCTAAGCAGACACTTGAGAGATGGATTGTGGTAATCATTCACTCTGCCCTGACTTTACCCATTCTTATGTTTCTACTGGATCTTCCTTCCATAGATGATTGTGTTTTAATCTCCTCACTCTATTCTGACTGTTTTTTGTGTAATGTTTTGGTCTGGTGAATTAGTCCCTTAATTAAGAAAGGTGAATAAATGAATAAAATGGGCTGTCAATCTTACTACATTCAAATTCTGGAAGTCCACATAAAAGTCTGGCAGTTAATCCACAAATCAATCCCATCTTAGAATACCAGCTGCTGATAACTCTAACATCCTATGCAGCACAGTGTCAGGCAAAGAAGGTTTGATGTGGGGGATTAAGTACAATGTGGTTCCCTAGTTTTACCCCATAAGACACAAGGTAAGTAAAACCACCTGGCTTCTCACTCTGAAGCAGCCATTTGCTCAGCCAAGCCAACGCTGAGCTGCATTTCTCTGCATTCCAGCTTCTTCGTGGAGATGTTTTAAGAAGAATTAAGTGGAGTGTTTAAAAGCTGCCCGCCCCACAAAATCCATATTCACGTGTCACTGAACACCTGCTTGCTAAGTTCCTAGTCTGTCTCAGTCACTATTCTTGACCCTCAGATTCCAGTAATAAATGTGTGGCATACACTTTTATGGTGAACATACCCAGAGAAGACAAACGAGGAAAACCTAGTGAGTAAAGAAAAACAAAGAATGCTAGAGAAGGAAGACACCACTCTATACAATGGCGCCTGCACACTCAAGGGACACACATATAGCAAATTTAAATTAGTTTGGTATTAAGGGCTATGAATAAGCAAAATGTATCAGAGATTGTTATTTTCAGAGTGGATAATGTGTGACTTGTTTGGAGGGAGCTTCTGGAGATATAAGTCATATGGCATTAAAATTGGTCACGTCAAGTTCAGGGAGTTTCAGTGTATTCATAGAGTTGTGCATTAATAACCACTGCCTAATTACAGAATATTTGCATGAGCCCCAAAGCAATCCCTCATCGTTGAGCTGTTTCTCTCCATTTCTCCCTCTTCCCAGTCTCTGTCGACTACTGGTCTACGTTTTGTCGGTATAATTTTGCCTACTGGATCTTTCATGTAAATGGAATTAATCAATTAGTGACCTTTAGTGACTGAATTCTTCCATGTAGCATAGCATTTCCAGGTACATCTGTGTCATAGCACCTACTCCCCAACTCATTCTTTCTATTGTCATATGGTGCTCTACTGGAGAAATCATGAAGCCTATTCATCAGCTAGTGGGCATGTGGGTGCTAAGAGGAATGCTGCTATGACATTTGTGTAGTCACATTTGTGTGGAAGTGTTTCCAGTTCTGTTTCTCATATGCCATAGAGTGAAGCTGCCATGTCACGTGATAACATCACACTTGGAACTGACATTTGCCAAAGAAGTCACATCGTTTCAAAATGGGGCCCAATTTCTCAGCATCTTAGCTTGTACTGTGTGTGTGTATGTGTGTATTGCATGTGTGTGCATGTGTGCAGCTCTTTAAGAGGTCCTGCCATGAAACACTTAAATGGTGTTGATGAAAAGCTGACCACATGCTTTTCAGTTTTCAGCCATACCAGGAAAAAAAGCTGTGCCACTTTAAAATGCCAGCTTTCTGGGCTGTCCTGCCAGGGCAAACTCTAACTCTTTCAGGCAGGCGGTCTGACTACAGAGCATTTGAATGTGGTCTGTGAGCAGAATGCTGCAGCTTGCTTGCTGGCAGGGACCTTGAAACACCATAGAGTTGTGGCATAAAACGTGGCTACAGCCAGTACCTCAGCCATGAGGCTGAAATCTCAGAAACCTAAGAAATGGGCTGGATCTAGACATCAAAGCCATGGATTTAATCCTCTCCATACTCCTTAGCAAATTAAATGTAGTTAGAAAAAAAAGAGATATGCAGTAAAAAAAAAAGATTCAAAGTCGAAGAAAACCTCTAAATGGTTTACAGTGTGTTAAAAATATATGCAGGCTAAAGATTAAAGTTTTAAAAGTAAAAAGAAAGAGAGTAGTTGGGTGTGGTGGTACACACCTTTAATCCCAACTCATGGGAGGTAGAGCTTGACCTCTGTTACTTCAAGGGGCAGAGGTAAATTGACCTCTGTGTGTTCAAGGTGTTGTAGCACACACCTTTAATCCCAGCACTGGGAAGGCAGAGGCAAGTGGATTTCTGTGAGCTCAAGGACAGCCTGGTCTACAGAGTAAGTTCCAGGACAAAGATACACAGAAACCCTGTCTCAAAAACTAAAAATAAAAATAAAAGAAATACAGGTTAAAATAAAGCTGCATAAAGATGGAAAATATACAGAGAATCTTGATACTGTATGCTATTATGCTTTCTGTGAATTATTTGAATGCTGAGGAAGGAGCAACAGCTTCTAAAAGATAATTGCTTATAATGCTGCAGAATTAATCCAAGATATATATTTTAAAAATACCTTGACTTCGAAATTGAAGTCAAAAGATATGTTACTTTGGAGAAGAGATTTTGCTTTTGTTTCTACAGGAAATGAGAGGCAATGGATTCATTATGAGTTAAGAAAAATTCTGGTCTGATCAAGGAAGACCACCTGAGAAATCTCTGGTATGAATAGATGGCCCAGATGTCTGAGTTCTTCTTCCAGAACAGGTTTAAGACTGCTGTCTGAGATGATCAAGACTCACAGGAAACTCCAGTCAGGACTTGATCATAATTCTAAATTTTCTTTAGGTCCCCATAAGATTATAGTGCCCCAACCAGCTGACCAGCTGGAAGTAGCCTGGAATACTATGCCCACATTTCCAAAACATGAACTATGGATATTTTCCTTTGTTAAAAAAAAAAGAGGGGAAAGTGGTGTGGGAGAATTGTCTGTATTCTGTCAATCATATTTTGAATAAACGCTGATTGGCCAGGCAGGAAGTATAGGTGGGTCAACCAGACAGGAAGTAGAGGGGGCGATGAGAACAGGAGCATTCTAGGAAGATGGAAGCCCATTCCCCACAGTTCTGCCCAGATCACCAAAGAAGCAGGATGTGATCGTTAAAAAAGGTACTGAGCCATGTGGCTAACATAGATAAGGATAATGGGTTAATATAAGTTACAAGAGCTAATAAGAAGCCAATAATAATGGGCCAATCAGTTTATAATCTTATGGCGACCTCTGTGTGATTTTCTTTGGGGCTTGCTGGCTCTGGGGTATCAGGCAGGACAGAAACCCCGGCAAGCAAACCTCATGTTACAGAACATGTAGTGATTTAATTAATGCATATTTCCATGTGATTATTTCGGGCATAAGCTAGCCGGGTGGCTAGAAGGACAAGCAGCCTGCTGGCCCAGGCATAAGCCAGTCAGGTGGTGGGACGCAGCCCGCTTCTCCTTACTACAGATTGGCACTTCAACATTGTAACAAACTCCACGTAAAACCTGAGAGGGCTTTAAAAGGAATTCTAGACACAAATATAGAGTTTAACACAGCTTTTTGCTGTGTGCTAGTGGGGTGCCGCAGAGAAAATTTTCTGACTCAGCAATAGCAGCAGGAAAAAAGCTGCGCCATTTTAAAACGTGGCTTCTTGGGCTGCGCCACTGGTACAAATGCCAGCTATTAAACATTTAAATGGCATCTGTGGGCCTGGATGTTTGTGTGTCCACTTAGGGACAGGAACAAAGTATCTGAGAGTATGCCTGTGGCTCAGCTCTTCCTGCCTGGACAGATTTAGGCAGGCAGGAGAGCATGGTGGATACCCGCCGCTGTACACAGAGATGTTTCCAGGCTGCACAGTGCTCTGAATAGCAGATTTACCTCACGCTCAGTCTCAGAGTTAAAGTGCTAACTGTGGCTCCTACCTGGTGGCCCTAGAGCTAGCAGAAATGGTACGTTCACCATTTTGAAACTAGAGAGAGGTGGAGCCAACACCCAGAGCAGCTCCTCCATGCTAGCAGTGCATTGCACATGGCTCAGAGGCACAAGTGGCTCTGCCATATTGGACTGGGTGGGGCAGGCAGACAGTACCTGTATTTGACCTGGGATTGTGGCAGCTTAGATTCCTAAGAGCTTAGCATTTTAAAAGCTCTTCAAGACAGTAGAGAATTAAAGACAATGCAATAGGACAGATTCAGACATAAAAGACCTCTAAATGGGTCATAGTGTTAGATAGACATATGTACGCTTGTGAGAGAGAAGAAAAAAGAGTATTAAAAAGGTATAAAGTAAAGTCTTTAAAGAGACAGGGTGCAGATAGGTATAGATTAAAAGAAATAAAGAAAAATGAGCCACTTAAAAATGGAAAATTCACAGAGAATCTGGATTATGTGTATTATTGTATTTTCTTTGAGTTTTTTGACTGTAAAGGAGCTAAGTACAGAGGCACATGTCATTGTGTGGACTGCTAAGATAAAGCAGAACATATAAAGGTATCTTGTCTTCAAAATTTGGGTCTAAGGATATGATGCTTTGGAAAAGAGGTTCTTCTTTTGTTTTTACAGAAGATGAGACTCTGTGGATTGCTTCTAGACCAATATGGTATGATAGACCATGCCCTCCTGAAAGGTTGCTGAAAATACTCTCAAAAACTTACTTTGCCCAACTGCCGACTGAGATGAACCTAGCAAACAGGATATACCATGAAAGACCTAATTAATAGTGCCCCCATAGAGCACGAAGCAGTTTGGAGAGAAAAAACTGTGCCCATATTCCCAAATATTGTTTATAATTTTTTTTTACATTTAAAGGGAGATATGATATAGAAATGAATAATTTACATTGGTATGAATTTTGCTTTGTTGATATAAATTTAAGGTCAATTATATTATATGTATTTCTGATCTTGACTAAGGTATTGTGATTGTGTAATTTATTTAAAAATGTAATGTATAATTAGGATATATAGGTTGTTAATGGATAATCATCAATAATAGTCAAGCTTGTAGTCATGTTAATTAGATTTTCTAGATGTGCATAGATATATTTCAGATGGATAGGCATTCTTATATCTTTCAAAGACTATAGAATATGGCATTTAAAATGTTTTAATAACCTAGGGCTTTTAATGACAATGAGACATATCTACTCCTGGCAGCACCAAGCTACTTCCTGAGGAAGATGGGTTCCTTATGGAGTTTGATAGTCATTTGGGCAAGAAACTGCTCTTGCCTGGACTGTTGCATAAACTGTACACAGAGAACCCTCAGAGAGAGGACTGCTGAACTTGCCTAAAGGTGAGATGATCCTTTGGGGTTCCTGATTCATGAAAGAGTCTGCATGACATTCTGCAGAATACAAAAGAAAGTAACTAAACTGTCTTTGAATTTTCCTGCTTCATGAAAATGTCTGCTGGATACTATGGGCCTGTAGCCTGAAGATGGATACCCCAACGGTACAGAATAACTTTGGGTGACTGTCCAGGAAGAGAGATGTCTCTGTCATTTCTAGAGTTTTGGAAGTTGCTTACTTCTTGTTTACTTAGGTAATACTATATCCTTCTGGAGTCTTTGATGGAGTTGAAGAATGGATAGTCATAGTTATAGTTTTCCATTGTTATGATAAAAGATAAAATAGATATAAATATTGTAACTGTAATTCTTGCCTGATAACTGTTTTGTTATATGTAATTTTACTTTTACTATGCTAAAGTTAAAGCCTTTCTTTTTTGTTTAAACAGAAAAGGGGGAAATGGTATAAGAGGTCCTTTGATATTTGTGTTGCTTTCATTGGTTGAATAAAGAAAACTGCCTTGGCCTTTTGATAGGGCAGAAACTTAGGTAGGAGGGGAAAGGAGAACTGAATGCTGGGAGAAAGGAAGAAGGGAGAGAGCCAAAATGGAGCCTCCTGCCAGGTCAGACATGCTGAATCTTTCCTGGTAAGCCACGACCTCATAGTTCTACACAGATTATTAGAAATGTGTTGAATCAAGATATAAGAATTAGCCAAGAAGAGGCTAGATATAATAGGCCAGGCAATAATTTAATTAATATAATTTCTGTGTTGTTATTTTGGGGGCTAAGTTAGCTGGGTGGTGGGGCACAGCCCGCCACTTGTCCTACAATACAGGTAAGTGTGTGTGCATGTGTATGCTCATGCATGTGCATGTGTTTATGCATATATGTGGGCTGTTTACACATGAGTAGATATCAAGTCTAAAACAGGACACTGGGTGTCTTCCTCTATTGCTCCCAGCCATATTGCTTTGAGACAGGGTCTCTGGCTGAACTGGAAGCTCACTATTTTGGCTACAACAGTTGGCTGGTGAACTCTGAGGACCCACGGGTCTCCTCTCTCAATACTGGAGTTTCAGAAATAAACAACCATACTTGTTTTTTTAGGTAGGTGCTGAGGATTCAAACTAGGGTTTGAAGGCCAAGTGCTGTTACCCACTGACCTATGTACCTGGCCTCTTGTCTCTTTTATTATTGTCATCCTTGTGGATAGAAGTGACTTATTTTGAGTTTATTTGCATTTCTCAAAAGGCTGAAAATGTCAAACACCTCTTACCATCTTAATGAGCATTTGTAGACTTTCCTAGTCTATTTGTCTATTTCCTACTCTAAATGTCTATTCAGATACCTGCCCATGTTTAAATTGGGCCATTTGAAGTTGTGTGTGAATAGTTTTATGTCAACTTGCCACAAGTTAGATTCATTGAAAATGAAGGCACCTCAATTGAGAAAATGCCCCCATAAGTTCCAGCTATAAGGCATTTTCTTAATTAGTAATTTATGTGGAAGCCCCTTGTGAGTGGTACCAAACACAGGCTGGTGGTCCTAGGTTCCACAGGAAAGCAGACTGATCAAGCTATGATGAGCAGGACAGTGAGTAGCACTCCTTCATGGCCTCAGCATCAGCTCCTACTGAGTTCTTTCTCTAGTGATGAACAGTGATGTGGAAATTGTAAGTCAAATCCTTTCCTCCTTAGCTTGCCTTGGTCATGGTGTCTCCTCACAGTAATATATATATTCCTGTGGAACCTAGGACCACCAGCCTGTGTTTGGTACCACTCACAAGGGGTTTCCACATAAATTACTAATTAAGAAAATGCCTTATAGCTGGAACTTATGGGGGCATTATATATATATATATATATATATATATATATACACACACACACACACACACACACATATATATCGTATATATTATGCTCTCTTAACCAAACATATTATTTTACAGATATTATCTGTCATTCCTTAGGTTTTTTTCACTTTCTTTGCAATATTTTTAGGTACAAAATTATGGTTTCAGTTTTCATGAATGACATATATCTATGCTTGCCCTTATACTATAATTTTGAGTGTTATATTACTATTTTCAAAAGTTTGTATATTGATTTCTCTAAACAGTATTCAAGCAGGTTATGTTAGTCGAATAAGAAAAAGAGTGACTTCTTCCAATCTCTCCTATCCACTCTTTTTCAGAAAAATGTTTTAAAATGCTTTTTGTGCATATTAAGATTTCTGCAAAGATTGTGCACATTTCTTTGGTGGACTAGCACCTGCTCTTTACCCGTAACCCAGATGCTGAGAAGGGATCTATGGCATCTCTTCCTCCACCCCCCTATTCTTTGTCACTTGGTTTTACCTTTGTCGACGAAGGTACTGATCCCATGCGGGTTCAGTGATTCTTTGTCAAATCCATCATTGATTTTCAGTGCTTGTGCCTTTGGATTTTGTTCATTCAAATCCATTAGAAAAATTCTTCCTGGTTTGTCTGGTGCAAAATTTGGCATGCCTGGATATTTTAATCCCTTTAGAAACAGAGAGTCAGTCTACAGTGATATGCATATTTAAAGAGTCAGTTTAAACACACACACACACACACACACACACGCACATTTAAATGAAACAGTCTACACACACACTCTTATTTAAATGACATTTTCATAGGGAAGTCAGAATCACAAAGCCAAACAAAGATGTTCCAGGTTCTGCACTTCATTTCGATTTTGAGGATTTTGCACTCTGTCAGCTACAGCCATTATCTGATCTGGGGGAAGGGGTCAGCAATGTCATTCCAACCTTGGCTATGAATATAGGAAGAGTCATATTTGAGATAACGAACCATTTTCAGTTTAGGAAGTGTTAAACCACAGATTACAATGCCAGGGACCAAGCTGTGTTACTTTTTCAGAGTCCTTTGGTCTGCCTAGGTCTTGGGGTACTCATCTATAAAATGAAACAATTCAAACTTTGATGGCTAAGATCTTTTCAATCTTGATATCTGAAATTTTTCTTTTCTGAAGCATAGCTACAAGGTATGTGGCTTAATTCTATTGTTCTTTTCCCTTCACTACTTATACTATGTAGTCATAAATGACACCAGCCACAATTCAGTGCAGGGTGCTAGCATCATAATGATTTCTGATTTATTTTGTTCCTATAGGAACTCTGGAAATTCTAATTTGAATATTTACTCCAATGAGTACACAAAGTTCATTCTAATACTTTGGACAGTGACCCTTTCTACCAACAGGACTAAGTATTTATCACCAACAATAGACACCCACAAGGTACTGAACCTTTACCCGTTCCTTGTGTCAAACCTTGAGGTTGGTTTATTCTATACCAAGAACTAAACAGCTATTTCATGATCACATATCTTCCCATCACTCTGATTTAATTCGAAATAGACCAGCTTCTTTCTTCCCCCTCAATCGCTAATCTAAATATTCTCCTTTCTAATCCACAATCTCTCTCTGTTTCTCTTTCTGCTCTTACCCTTACAAATACATGTACTTACTTATTGCTCCTTCCGTTGCCCTCTCACTTTGGAGCAGTTGGGAATCTCTGCATGTCCCCATCCATATCTTCAAGTGTTTTGAAAAGATTTAGTCATTCTTATTTTATGTATATGCATGTTTGAGTATATGCATGTGTGTGTTCCACATGTGAGCCAGGTGCCCTTGGCAGTCGTGGGATACCATGAAACGAAAGTTTTTAGATAGATGGGAGCTGCCATGCTGATGTAAAAGCTTTAAGTGATCTTAACTGTTTAGCCGTCACTTCATCCTCCAAGTTTTTCTTAGAATCCTCCTTGTCATCCAAGACTTGAACCTCAGTATTGTTGGAAGGAGGTCTCTGAAACCATCAGAGCAGTGCTCTCCATTCCTGAAGGACCGTTCTTCACCATGCCCGAAGGAGGGATAGGCAGGGCCTTACTCTCAGATTCTGTTTCTGGGCCAGATTCTGTCCACACCAAGTAAAGAACCTCTCTAATAAACCACATCACTTGCTTCTTTCTCTCTGCTCTTTCTTATACTGGCCAAGCTCTTAAGAAAGAGGACACACATTCATCCACAAATGGGACAGCTATGTCACAGTATCAAGCCAGTCAACATTCTAGCAGGGAGCAGGGAGGAGCTTGTGAGAAGCTATTGACACTCGGTGGCTGCTGGGAGATGAAAAGTCAATTTCCTTTAGGACTATGGCCTCTGGTGGGTCAACCAAGCTCCAGTGAGCATATGGGCATCACACACTGAAGTCTGTGTGCTACTGAAAAGAGGGAGAGGTGGAAAGTTGGGAAAAGGTGTGGATATGGGTACCATACATAGATCTGGGAAGAATTAGGGAGAAGAGTGGAAATGAATCTGATCAAAACAAATTGTTGGAAATCCTCAAAATACTATAATAAAGACTCTAGTGAAACACCGTCCCTTATGCTATGCCTATGACGAGAAGAGGAAGACATCCGCAGCCACTTTGAAGACGGTGCATCCCAGCGTCACCTGCAGTCATCACTGTCACTCTGTTTTCTATTTCACCCTCACAGACAACCCATTCTGTTTTCCACATACGAATCCTCAATGCATTTCATCGCATGAAGTCTATAGCCCATTTTGCGTCACTCTGAGTGGTGGTTGAGCGCATACTTCTCTGGAAGTACTATGGCAATTTATGTCAGCTGCCTCTGACTACTTTCTGTGAATGGCCGTCAGCACTTCTGCCCCATTTCTTGAGGAAGAGTCACCCTCCTGCTCTTCTGTCAGGTCTTTCATTTCTGTCCCGATCCCCTACTCTGTAGGACACCACCCCCTCTTGCTTTATTCCTTATTTTTCATTAGTGACTTAATCTGTGGCCTGGAGTTTTGTTCCCGTTTCTCATTCCTTGAAACAAATCTTTCCCTAACTTTCTTCAACTATGTATTTATCTCCTTGTTTCCCCTGAGGTTTCTCAGAAAGATCACGCAACCTCATTACCCACTCTCCTTTCACTGGAATTAACATTCTACCTCCTGTATTATGGAGAAACTAACCTCCAGGTGGTGCAGAAGTCTCCAAGTGTCTTTTTTGACTGCATTTCCTCTTTCTCTGTCCACAGCACCAGGGACCTGGACACTACAGAATGCCTCCTTCCTTCATGACCAAAAGTCAGAAGCAGAGTTCTGAAATAGAATTTCCGTCTTGATTTCTGCCTCTTAGACTTGTCTTCCTTCTGTTCTCATAACCCTTCCTCCACTGTGTTCTCTCCTTATAGTTTCGTTCATAAAGCTTCAGTTATTTCGTGTCCCTCAGTGATTTTGACGTATGTTTGCCCACAGCCTGTCCCTCATGCTGTAGCTTATCCCCCACCTCCACCCCCCCACCCCGACTCCTTTCTAAGGTCAGCTTTCAACCAACTTGTCAAAAACCAAAGTGAAAGTCATCCCTGAAGCCCCTCCCTCTCAAGACATCTGTTCTTCTCAGCTAAGGGTGTCACTATTCTGTCACACTATAGAATTCACTTCTCAGCTGCCTTCTCTACAGCTGTAAGTTTTTTGGCTCAGAGACTGGCAACACAAAAGAGGAAATGTTAAGGACATCTAGCCATATGGCTGCCATTCATGTACAGCCTCCTTCTGCCACACCATAAATATAAAAATTATCTCTACAAGTACCTTAATATCATGGGAACATAGGAGGACACTATCATCCAAACAAAGAGACCAGAATGAAAAATATTTGATAGAAATAGGAGGAAGGCACTGCACATAAACTTCGGCTGGAATAAGAGTGTTAAGGAAACACTCTCAGAGGAGGCTGGGGGTTAGTTTCGTGACGTTCTGTTGGTTAGAATTGGTGGCAGCAATCCTGCTGTATGCCAGTAACAGCACACAATTCCACTCCTACTACATATCACTGAAAATAATGACAGTTACCCTGAAGTATCGGCTTCTGATTTCTCAGAATGTACTGAAGGTATTTGTAGACATTCACTGAAACCTTCCTTTGTCATTATTCATCATCAGACCTCATATGTCTAGTATTTTGCTGGGTGCCTGGGGGATTGGGACAATTGTCTGTATTCTGTTGATTATATTCTAAATAAACGCTGATTGGTCAATAGCCAGGCAGGAAGTATAGGTGGGACAACCAGACAGGAAGTAGAAGTGGGGTGAGGAGAACAGGAGAATTCTGGGAAGAAGGAAGCCCATTCCTCGGCAATCCTGTCCCATCCACAGAAGAAACAAGATGTGACTGCCTCATTGAATAAGGTACTGAGCCACATGGCTAGCATAAGCAAGAATAATGGACTAATATAAGTTATAAGAGTTAGTAAGAAGCCTGAGCTAATGGACCAATCAGTTTATAACTAATGTAGACCTCTGTGTGATTTCTATGGGACTTAACGACTGTGGTAACTGGGCAGGACAGAAAACCCCTACAACAGGGTATTAACAAACACATCAAAGTCCCAGCGTCAAGGAACTCAAAGTCACATGATGTCACAAGAATATATCAGGATAATGCAGTCCATCCACATCCAACAGCAGAACCAGAGAAGGCTTGCTGAGAAAGCCACATACCTCCACAGAGGTTTACTGAGAAACAGAAGTTAACTGGCAAAGTGGGAGGATGGGAGTAATCCTTGTCACTTTAGAAAGGCTAAGAATATGTATTTGCATAGAATAACCCTGAATATGAACATTGCCAAGAGAGGCAAGAAGGTCATAGGAGAGACCCAGGAGAACAAGATATTGAATGCAGGAAGAGGAAAAAGAGCAAAGAGCTTAAATCCTAAGCTTCAAGTAGGAGTTGCTGATTTGCAGAGCGATGCAAAGAGAAGGGTGCTGCCATCTCTCATGCACTGCTTGGGATGAGAATGCTCCCTTTCTGCTGAGCAAGAGCTGTGCAGCTCTGCTGCCGGGGAGGCATATGGCAGGAACAAGCATTTCCTAACAGCAAACACAGCTCCTAACTCTATGATAATCACTTTTGCAGGTCTGTCCAGCATAGCCCTGAAAATCAAACTTGACAGTAGAAAACTGAGGCCAATAAAAAAGAGCCTTTCCAGATAGTTTTATCTTTGAGTTTGGAGGAAAAGTGAAGAAACAGAATCCTGCCTCCCACCATCTAAAATTGACTGTGCCCTTCTCTGTAGTTTATCTGCCTACTTAAGAATCTGGAAACTTGGGCCATGCTTCCCTAGGATGCCTTACTTCAAGCCAAAAGTATTTAAATTTAGAATTTATGTAAGTTAGTGGTTTGGGGAAAATTGAATGTTTCCATATGCAATTCTAGACACAGAAATTAATTCACACTAAAAGTGTGGTAAATCCAATTTTTCAAAATATTGGAACCAAACTATGGACTTAGTTAGGAAGTCGAGTTTATGACTGACATGTACACATCCCTGGCTTCAATCTCTAACAAACCCATATGAACAACACCAGCAAGCAAAACCTCAGACCCTATTCCAATGTGCTATTGGCTTGGTAGATCCAGGACAATCTTCAACATCTAATAAACACACTGTTCTTTTATTTACTGATTTTTCCCCATCCCCTAGGCATAGCTTCCTGGTCATTTAACATTTGTCAAAGTGGTATTGAGAACAAAATACACTTTCTTCTCTACTCATGGAAACTCATTGAAGGAATAGCTGGGAGTCCAAGTATTGATGTTAAACTCTTTAACTTATAGTACTCCATACATAAGCAAGCGTGACAAGAACACTGGTTAGTGCAAAGATGACTATCAGACACTGAGGTACCACCCAATAAGGCAGTGATGGAACTGAGAAGCAACTAGACAGAGCCGAAGACCATCCTGAGAGTCAAAGGCACATCAACGCGCTTTTCCAGAGACCATAGGCAAGCATGCAGCTGCACACAGGGAGCTAGCACAGGGGGCAGCCAGAGTCAGGTGTGCCAGCGGTGTTCTAATTAGCCTTCCAGATTGCACTTTGGCTTTTGTAGCTGACTGTTCTACCCAGAGGTGGGATGAACATGTAGGGGTCCATCTGGCATCTCAAGCTGGAAACTTTAATGCCCTTTCTATGTTGCTATTGATGTGAGCATCAGACTGGTTGGCAAATACTCACAGTTGAGATAAAAGCCAGTCCACTAGGAAGTATATCAATATCTTCAGAGCCATTCTCTGCAAAAACACAAAACAGAAAATAATCACAAAAATGCATATGTGGAGCCTTCAAAGAAAAAGTTCAATGGCCCAAACTTTTGAGTAATTTTCAAAAGCGCATTGATGGTTTCACCCATTTACTTGGGAAACTACTGTAATGTTCAGGAATCCCACTGATGGAGCTGCTGTTCTATTAGAACCCCCGAGTCCATCTCCACGAGCATTAAACTCCTTTTTACAATTCCATTTTTTTCTGAAGGAAAGTGTAAAACAAACTACCCTATAAAATGAAATTCATGTCCTAGGTTGATTCTTTAAGTTACAACTTTCAGGAGGTGTCCTGAGAAACTCTGTGTTGTTCCCTACAAAAGGCTGCTCCTCACATACGGAATGAGAGAATTCAGGTATCACGGAAAAGATTCCAGAGAAGTCTCCCTACCATGTCCCCCATTCTACAGCCCATCAGATTGAAGCACGCACAACCACAATGAGAAATTAGCCAACAGGTGATCCGTGTGATAATGGTCCTTTTTGGGACAGGTTGTGGCAGGAGATTCATTAGGAGGAGTTGGGTAAGTTCACTTCCTCCTTCGGAGCCTTGAGCATTTTCTGTGGAAAGGAGTATGCAATGTGTGGGTGGTATGGAGGGGAGGATGGGTTCTAGTAGCGAGAAGACCTCCTAAGACTTGGGGGGGGGGGGGCTGATTCGGATGTGATGACTGTCTGATACAGCTAACTGTATTCTGCAGAATCGGAGTTCAGTCGAATGCTCCTGTGAAGACTAGACAGTCACTATTTCACTGCATTCTCTCCCCTTGAGCATGAGGGAACTTAAAAGCTGTCCTGACAAATGGCATGGGGTGAGTGTAATGCCATGTGACTTCCTAGGCTAAATGTGAGCCCTAGATGCCCTGGTGCAATCTCTCCCTTCTCTTCGTCCTTATGTTCCTTCTTCCTTTCTCTTCCTCCCTCTCTTGCTTCTATCCCATCTAGCTCCCATCTCCTCTCTCCAGGATTTACCTTGCATGCCCTGAAGTGAAACACAAAAGTCTGGTTTTTCAAAGCCACAGAGCAATGTATGTAGAGAACAGAAAGATGGGGAGAAAAGCCAGAGGATGCCAGGTGCCTTGTTACCAACTTTGAGTCACCTTTGCTAATGCAAATGGAACAATTGGACTTTCTTCACGGAGCCCTGCCAATATCATAAGAAAAATAGCTAGGATTTTCTAGGTTTGTTTTGAGACAGGGCCTCCCTACGTAGTCCAGGATGGTCTTGACCACATGATCCTCCTGCCTCAGCCTCCCAAGCTCTAGAATTACAGCTATGTGTTACTATGTCCAGCCTTGTTGTTCAAACTCACTAAGTGTGGGGTGGTCTGTTAGGCAGCCACACTAATTGGAACACACAGGAAATAGGTACCTGGGGAAATGGATTACTAGGTTGTCACTAGGCAACTGGGACAGAGCATGGGTGGATGAGGAAAAGAAAATGAGAATAAAGCTGAAGAAAAAGTAAATTTGAACTGATAGGATGGTGAGCAGCAAGTGCTGACAACCAGAGATGGGAGAAACTACCCCCAACTGGTAAAACTATCCAGAGCTTCTCACTTCCTAAGCATTTGGGTTGGTCAAGATTTACCCATCTCTGGTGCCCAGATGGCTTGAAAAACTTGATGCTCTTTCCACATGGAGTGAAATGCACACTGGGAAAACCCACACATCAAATAAAGCAATTTTCAACACCACAGGTTGGCTACTTCTCTGAGGACTCTCCCATCTCTCTGCTCGGTCCTTCGTGATTTCCTGTTGCCTTTATCTCTCACTCTGTTCTGAATAGAGAATAAGGTCTGTCTGCCCTTGCCTGTTTCTCCAGGCACAGCAAGCAACAGTCCAGTCTTTGCTCTCAGGTGCCACCCCCGTGCTCCCGATTCTCGAATCTGCATAAGTCATTCTTGCAAGTTCAGACTTCTACCATCACCTGATGCTAAACACTCCACTGGTTCCTCATGTACAACAGGTTCCAAACAGAGCTAGAAGTTTCTTCCCTTCATATTTTCCATCTTTCAATGACAATGAATGGTGTCTATCCTAGGGTACCCAAAGCAGGGAACTTGGAGCTATCTTTACCACCTCCTTTCTCTTTCATCCCCCAGACATCACTTGTTTGTCATGTATGTACTCTTGTTTGTCATGTATGTACCCTTGTTTGTCATGTATGCACTCTTGTTTGTCACGTATGTACTCTCAAGTTTCTACAATAGTTTCTTAATAGGTCAACTTTGTTCCGCTAGCCTATTGCCTGTACTGATATTCATTTTTCTCAACTGCCAAGTTGACCCTATCATTCCTTTGTCTAAAGCCTTCTAAAGGCCTGCAGGAGCTAGCAGTATAAATCCCATGTCTCTTGGTGGAGATTCAAATCCATCCACACCTTGGCTTAGGCTCAGTTCTCATTGATCCTGCCTTTCTGGATCAATTCTAGCTATGGGATGCTTCCTTGAGTCGTTTATGAATGACATTAGAGTCATTCATTTGTACACATGCATACACACACACACACGTCTTCCTTGCCCCTAGTGGTGTGCAAGGCATGGGGGCACTGCTCCAGCTTTCCAAAGCTTCCCTGGTTTTAGCAACCATCTTTATGTGCAAACATTGCTGCCTGTGGGACCTTTATCATGACATTTTTCACACTGTGTCCCGTGTCTGCTTGTTAATATCCTATTTGACTGAAAGCTTTTTGGGAACAAGGCCGGGGTTTAATTCCGTGTCGTATCTGTGTATTCTACATAACACCTGCCTTTTTGTTGTACATGCCCTCGAGGCAAGCTCTTTCACTTAATAAGGAAGCAGATTAGTAATTTAAACTTTCTCTCGTTTCGGAGTTAAATGATATGGATGTTATCTCTGAGTACAGGTGTCCCAGTTTATAACCATTTGATTAGGAGATTTCAACTCCCCAAAGACATGAGAACGAAACCCATTCAGGGGAAATATTACCCTTCGTTCTGAATTCTGATCTTGCCAGTTCTCCCTGGAGTCTGAGCCATATCAGCAGAGGCTGTTCCCATTCAGGAGGGAAACGATGGGCTCTACAGAGATCCTACGGCACAGCCCGTCTGGGAATGCTCGGTGAGTTAGGGGCATGCAAGGCATTTTTACTTACAGTATTTTCAACTTGAAGGCATTTATCAGTGCAAAACCCACATTGCAATTTAGCTTCTTGCTTAATTAATGGTTATACAAGATTTTCTGAGTTGTGTGATCTCTGACTTGGCTCCTTTTCTTTCCCAAATGCAGTTTTCTATATCTCCCATGATAGCATCACCCTGGCCTAACGTGCAGCATCCATGGGGGCTCTGTTCTTTATTGCTACCCCCAGAGCATGGATACTATTTCACTCTAAGGAGGGAAAGCAGCGTCAGCTGGACTGACAGCATTTCCACTCCCGCTTCCCACACACCTTTGTCTACACGAAACCGACAAGACGAGTCCCAGGAATCTCATCAGTAGGGAAACCAGTGGGAGTGGAACTGCAGGGCCCTGTCCTCTGGGTTCTCCTCATACCTTTCAGTACACAGCTATGGTCAAACCCCTCAGTCACAAAGCTCTTGAAGAAGTAACCATTACATTTCAGTCCTACCATGAGTTGCCATCACTTCAATAATTTCTCTCTTTCTTCAATATTCCCCATAGTTCCCCCAAGAGAGTGTCATTCCACTAGTTTACTACATGCAATTTTATTATTTTTATAGTTTATATAAGTTGTATATATAAATAATATATTTTATGTAAAATTATATGCTACTTATATAATTTTATCATTTCCCACCTTGGGGAAATGCCAGCTAAGTAAACAAATGGAATTCACTATGGAGTAGCAGCAATCTTGGAGACCAAGAAGGTGCAGAAAGGATGCAAGGCAGAAAGGCACCGCATACAAACCCGCAAATGTGATAATCCTACCCACAGAGAACTCTGATGTAGGGAGCTCATGTTTCAAGTGTAGCTTTGGTGAGATGTCACATAAGTTCCTTGTTGAAGGCATCCTCACCCTCATAGGCTTAGAAAACAAGACAAAGTTAATGCAAAAGGAAAGAATAAAGGTAGCGTTTACTGAAGGAAGAATTATTCGACCTTCCTGTAAGAAAACTGAGCACACTTACAATCCCAGTATTTGGGAATCCAAGGGAGAAGGATTACATAGGGATGGTTACATAGAAGACTGTGTATGAATAAAATCAGAGGATGAAAAAAGAAGGAGGAGCTGTAAAGGAGGGAAGGGGAAAATAACCATATAAAAAAAAGGATAAATTAATTTTGTAAATTTGCTTTTAGCTGAGGCTGGTGGCACAGCTGTAATCCCAGCTACTTGCAGGGTCCAGGCAGGCAGATTACAAACATAAGGCATGACTGAGCTAAACAACAAGTCCAAGGCTAGCCTGAACAACTGAGCAAGACTCTGAGTTGTAGATGCAACCTAGGAGTAGGTTTTGGGCCCAAGCCCCAGTAAACAAACAAGCAAACACACACACACACACACACACACACACAAATAAACAAGTTAAAAATAAGTTAAGTAACAAACAAAATCCACCTGATTGTAAAGAAAAGCAGAGCAGAGCTTCCTTTAGCTGTGTGCCTGCTGCGCCCTGCTAGAAGTCCTCCAGTGTGCCTACAGTGTTGCATGAAACCCTCTGCCGTGGAACAGTTTGGACTCCAAACCAAAGTTTTCTTAGCTATCTCTGTTTAAATACCTACTTGCCTTCTCTTGCTCAGTTTCCATTTAGTAATATTCTAGCTATTTACGCTTTCTCTTGTAATAAGACTTTTCTTGGAATGCTTAGAATAAAAACAATGTCTTGTCAGTAGATAAGACATTATATATCATATCAGCATTAGACAACAAAGACTTCGAAGCATGAAAGAAAAAAACATCTCAGCACTAATCTAGGTGAACATCTGGACCATCAGGCAACTAACGCAATCCCTCTGTGTGTCATTTCTTCCACACAGCACTGATAGCCACATTTGCTCTGTAGATTTGCGCTGGGAATAAGGTAGGTGCTTGCAAAGGCGCCACACACCTTTGAAATGGGAACTTTGGTGTTCTGTTTTTCCTAATAATCATCAGTATTGTCCTATTATCAAATGGCCTGTAATCATCCTAGCATGCTCAGATCTTCAAATTTAAGATATAAAGGCATGACAGATGCAAAGCATGGCATGGTATGATTTTCTTCGTCTCTCCTAAGCCAGCTTCCAAATACTAAAGCTGTTAGGGCCATCAGGGCATCGACCTCTGGCTACAATGTCAACTCTAGCTTTACTTTCTCAAACTCTCAAACTCAGTTGACTTTTATAATTTGAGAATTAGAGCAGACAGAAAAAATCCTCTCATCTAATTATCCCTCTAAAATGCTTGGCATGCTTATGTTTTGAGATATATGCATGGTGAGAGAGAATATTACTCTCAATATTGCTTCTCAACCTGTGGGACAAGACCTCTTAGGCAAACCTCTATCTCCAGCACTGTTCACATTATGAGTCATAACAGTAGCAAAATTACAGTTATGAAGTAGCAACAAAAATAATTTTTATGCTTGGGGGGCCACCACACCATGAGGAACTGTATGTGTGTGTGTGTGTGTGTGTGTGTTTCTTTTGTCATTTATTGGGGCTTGAACTCAGGGCCTCATTTTATAGGACTGAAAAGAAACTGAACTGAGTCACTATTGAGTGTCTGAAGACTTTTCTTATGAGATGAGGAGGTATGTCTTAAAATCAAGCAGAATGCAGCACCCCAAGTCCTCTGTAGCCCCTTTAAATTCTGTAACTTGAGTGTCATGCGCACAGCCCTTGTTTAGGCTGAGACACACAGGGCACAGGTCCAACTGCTCTGAAGACACCTTGTGAGCTTCCATCTCGTGTTTGCTCCTTCCCCAAACTCTGTAAGCTGGGGGACAGGGCCCACCAGTCTCGGAGATTCACATATGCTGCACACGCTCACCCTTCCCAGCAGAACCTCTTGACTTTGGTTTCTAAAACACCAAGGTCACCTAGGGTTGTCTCATTCTTCTAGTTTCCACCTGGCAGCATAAACCATTTCCATAAGCGTGGACCAGGGCTAAAGAGGTAGCTCAAGTGATACAGCACTTGCCAGCCTGGCTGAAGCCATGGCTCCTATCCCCACTACCTCACAAGCTAGATGCTCTAGGGCAGCCCTATGACCCCAGCACTTGGGAGGTGGAGGCAAGAGGGTGAGAAGTTCAAGTTCGTGTTTGGTTATGTATTGTGTTCAAAGGCAGCCTGAGATACTTGAGAAACAGTTTCCAAAATAAAAACAAAGGATTAGAAACTGGGAAGAGGTAAAAGAATAGGAAACCAAAACCAAAGGGCTTCTTTTCCTGTTTTGTTTTTTAAATATAAATACAAAGAAAAAAGAAAACACAAAGTCACACCACCAAATAAGCTGTTCTAACTCATACCAATAAATCAGTCACAGTCTTTGGCCCTAGGGAGTTTGCAATCTGATAATGAAAGAGAACACCAGCTCAGAAATAAACCAAGGAGTAGGCGTGGAGTCAGCTGGGTCTCAGAGTGTTGTAAGAGTAAGAAGGAGTAAGGGAAGTAAGAAGAGGCTGCGTCTGACGTCAGTGAGCAGCCATGGGAGAGAAAATGCCACAGCACAGGTGAAAAAGGCACAGGGCACTTTTGGCGGACAGTGAGTAGAATCTGGCTGGCTTTTAGTTTTATTTTCCGGTAGCAAAACTGGAGGCTTGCAGCCCAGGTAAACATGGGAGCAGAGCCAAATAGGTGAGGCCAGTAGGAACAGAGGAGGCTGCTGCCCACTGGTCTCCTGTGGAAGCAGGAGGGACAAAGAGGAAGCCAATGCTCCCAAGAATTTTAACGGAACCTCCTGGGGATAATGGGCCAGCTGTGGGTTGAGGAACCACGGAGGGGATGGCAGGAGTGTGACGCTGATGTCAGTTAAGTCTGATTCTAAGTAAACAACACTGGCCTTAGTGATGGAGAAAGGAAGCCTTCAGTTTGAGAGGCTGGAGATGTGACTGAAGAGTTGAGATTAGTATTTTTGAATGACATCTAGGCAGGCTGAAAGCCTGAATACATACGAGAAGTGCTTGCCAGAAAACGTGGGAGGAAAGGATACCTGAAGCCAAGATTGTCAAGAAAGGGAGAACTAAAAAGGGGGGATGGGGGAGCAGCAACCAAGAAGCAGTGAAATTCATCAGAAGATGGAGAAACGCTCTTGGCATGAGGTAGTCTAGAACCGTCATATGCAAAAGTCATGCCGCCCGCCACGGGGTAATTCGGAATTAAATCATTTCCCAGCCCTAGGGAAATGATGAAGAAATGCTGCTGCCTTCTCTCGGTCCTGTTGCGTGCTTACCAAGGCCTTCAATCAGGTGGCAGTGCTGAGGTTCTGTGGGCTTGATCTCCCGTGTTGAACTAAATCTTTCTCTGCAGAGAATGGAAATCAACATGAGAAACCGTTTGTTTGGTTAGAACAGAAAACAAAATAAAATTTTAAACATTCAAAGTATCAAGAGGATGGTATCCATGGGAAATGCCATTGCTCCCCTCATGAGAAACCAGGTCAGAGATCAGAGCGCGGCATCCCAGGTCAGTGTCAGAACAGACATGGAAGCCCTCCAGTCCCTTTCCTCATTTTATGGATGGCATAAGAGATAAGCAGGCAACGCCTTTGGTTCCTAGTTACATAATACCTCTTACATAAGCACTGTGCCCACAGAAGCTAACTTCCCAATTATCCCTGAAAGAATAAAGCATAGTTCTATACCAAATGTAAGACCCCACTTGATGTTAGGCAGAAATGATCAATATTGTTCATTTAAATAAACAAAACAGCATTGCATCATTTTCCTAGGTATTATTGATTATAAATCTGCACTCCCCCCCCCCACCTCCTCTCGCTCCCTTTGCCCTCGTTATTTCTGTGAGGTCTCCAAGGAGCTAAACCTGTAACTCTAGTTTACCCTTTGTCCTTTTCAACAGCTTATGCCGACTTTTATGGACCTGACCACCATAAAACTCTTAGCCAACCGACTTTCCAGCAATGTTCCTTTTTTTTTTTTTTTTTTTTTTTGCAGTGAAACGCCCTTCTAAATATTAGGTATAACTTGAAATATTCACTAAGTTATATTCAAGAAGACCAAAGTTAGATTTCTTTTTCAATCACTTATAAAAAGTGCTCTAAGAGATGGGCTGGAACTCGGTGGAGGCGCGGTTGTGACCCGAGCTGTACTAGACACAGGTGTGTGGACTTCTGACCCTTAAATTTACTATTTGACGATCCTGTCACTTGTTGTTCTCCCAAGCTGGGCTGGGAAGTGTTGCCAGCAGACATCAGGTGTCTGAACAGATTGCAGGAATGAACTGAGACCAGTCTCTCCTTACGGAAAGAATAGAAGCAGGATGACAAGCGAAGGCCTTAGCCCCACCTAGGAATAAGGCTTTAAAAAACTTAAAAAAAAAATTTCTTTCAGACCAAACTGACTTTGCTTGAGATGATTCTGGAATGGCTGTTTCTGCTGAACCTGCTGCTTCAAAATGCCCACCAACCTCCAAGCCAGTTCCCTCCACAGTGTTCAGCTCTCTTCCTCTAGTGTGGAATGGGATCCCTAAGCCTGCACTTTCAGGGTCTGAGTCAGCTTTAGTTTACCCTTTGTCCTTTTCAACATCGAGCTGCAAGGATGGTCCCCTCCCCCAACTTCAGCACTTCTGAAAGACTTCAGTGTTTCACCCGGACAATGTAGCAGAAGACTTGGAACAGGTACCTAACCTTTAGCAATCCAGTGTGGGCTTTCCTACCCCGGCAGCCTCGAAAGGCAAGAAGCAGTCCCCTTTCATAATGAGTCATTTTCAAGAAGTTGAGGCGGTGGCACTGAGGACTGGTTCCCAAACTGCTCTTTTGCACCCGCTAGGAAGTTGGAAGCAGGTAGTCCTTGACCTAACTTGGGCCAGAAAAAAAAAAAAAAATCTGAAGACGTCTCCGTGGAGGTGTCCACTCACCTAAAGGTCAGAAGCCTCTCCCCTATTAAGGCCAAGCTGGCCCCCAGCAAGGTCAGTACCACTAGCTTCCCCATGGTGTCTGGGTGCCTAGCAGCGACTAGCCTATTCCAGGAGCTGCTCCCGGAGGGGAGGAGCAAGAATGGAGGGGTGGGGATGGGAATGGGGGCGGGGGGCGGGCGGACACGATGTGGCCCCGCCCACTGCTCTTTCCCTTGTGCCCCGCCTGCTCCTACCGGCAGGTTCGCTAATCCCCTGGGGGTTAGTCAGAGTTGTGGGGTCTTTGCGCAGTCTCTTGCTCCAAGGCTCAAGGCTACAGTGGCGTGGAGGGGCTTCTAGCCACTTCCCTGCTTGAGTTTCAAGGAAACTTTTGTTCTTGGGATTCAAGGTCACCTTTGCAAGCGAGCTGCAAAGTCCTATTTGAACTCTGGTCCAAGGCCACTTGCAGGCACAGGGTCCAAGTCTACTCCTCGTGTTCAGAGTTCAAGGACACTTTTCTGCGTGGAATTCGGGACTCAGAAAGACTGTAGTCGGAGGTCGCGAGTTGGTGACCTCAGGTTAAGATTAACCAGCCAAGCTCTTGGTGGCTCTCAGGGAGTCCGTGCAGGGTGGCATTTGTTTCTTAAAGCCACAGAACTTAATTGCCTCAGCTCCACCTGTGGACGAAGGCGGGGCGAGCTGCTTGGAAGTCCAGAGTTCATAGACAGAGCTTGTGGGTTCTGGCAGGCAAGATGTACGAGGAGAAACTGATCCTGAAACCCCCTAAAGGGGAGGAAATACTGAAAGCCAAGCCCTTCTCCAGGAAACGGAGCTCTGGACTTTTTGTCTCCGGACCTTTGCCATCAGGATGCTGTACATGGTGAGAGTCTATCTGTCTGGATATCTGGAGGATGGCCCGAATACAATAAAAAGGACCTAGTTTCCGTGGGAGATTCTTGCTATTCTTTCCTGTGGACTTCAGGTCTTTCTGGTGAAGAGCACGCTTTCCTCTCATATAAACAATATTGCCGGAGATTCTGAAGATGGCGGGGCACTTGAGGTGTTTAGGGAACACTGCACCTTCAAAGGTCATCTATTTTTATTTTCTGACAGGGGGTAGCAGCGGTAGAATTCAGTTTTAAAAATAACATTTTTTAAGTGTGAAGATTTTTTTATTTTTTTTATTGAGAAAAGGAAAAAAAAATTTCCGCCACCTCCCAGCCACCCATTTCCCTCCCCCTCCTCCCACCCTTCTCCCCCTCCCCCCACTCCTTTCCCGCTCCCCCCACTCCTCTCCCCCTCCCTCTCTAATCCAGAGAGCAGTCACCATTCCCTGCCCTGTGGAAAGTCCAAGGTCCTCCCCCCTCCGTCCATGTCTAGGAAGGTGAACATCCAAACTGGCTAGGCTCCCACCAAGCCGGAACATGAAGTAGGATCAAAACCCCGTGCCATTGTCCTTGGCTTCTCATCAGCCCTCATTGTTCACCATGATCAGAGAGTCCGGTTTTATCCCATGCTTTTTCAGT